AAATAGACGAAAAAACATATTTATATTATAATTATTATCAGGTAAGAACCAAGCAATATTGCTTGTCTTACAATAATAACTAATGGTGTGCTGTCCTTAATATGCCTACATTCTTTAGAGACTTGATTTTACTAAAAGTACCTACTCGTAGCTATGTTTCTCAGATCTTTTGCTAATATAATGAAACTTTATAATATATTGACGTTTGTTTCAGGGTCATTTTAAAACTTAAATTAAGAAAACTTTCATATCTTCTATTGGAAATAATAATAATGAAAAACGATTATACCTAAATGTAGAACAATAAAACTTGAATTTATTAAATTTATGTGACGAGTGCCTATCATTGGTGTGCTAAACAGGTTGTGGATAGAAAAACTTGTTAGTGTTGTTAGTTAGCTTAAAACTATTCATAATACCTTATTATTATTTTAAGTATAAATTTATTAGTGCGAAGCACATTCGAGTGTTATATAAAGTTATAAGACTATAAACTTTCCATCCAAGTCTCTTTGGATTGGAACCAAGAACCAAAATAAGAACGAAGAACTTTGAATGAACCACGTTCTCCAAGAGACGGCTTCATGACGGATCTTAATAAGGTATAAGCTTTAAAACAATGCAATGAGAACCAATGTTCTTTAAAAGATGTATGACTACGACAATAAAGTAACCAGCATGTGTCAAACCACACATGTAATGCAATAATTGATTTGATTTGATTTGAAATTTACACTAAGTTGGAACATATAAATTGAGACAAAGAATTGGCTTCCTCGAAGAATTTTGATGAAATCTCCAAACTGACATTACAAACGGATTAATACCAACTTCATTTAAGGTGAATATTTTCTGCCTGATGACTTTATAATATATTCGTCGCCTTAGAGTTAAAAACCTCGGGAATGCATTTTTCTCAATCTGTACATTTCGGTCAATCTTACAGAATATAACAGATAAAAAAGCTGGTTAAATTCATATAAATTAACAAAATACAGCACACAATTTTATCTTCCTCCTGAAAAAATACTTCTTTACACTATAAGAGGTTTTTATTCTAAGTAGTCGAAATTAGTTTTATAATGTCTTAGACGTTTAAGCTTGAAAAGTTAAAGTTGATCTTTTCATAGAAATTGATGTTTTATGGAATTTTGTGAATTTATGTAATTTGGAATACCACAAATAACTGATAAGTGCAAATGGCACTGCATTGCCTAACTATCCAGTGCTGAATAGACAGACATAGCAATAAATGCGAAAGTAACTCTGTCTGTCTGTGTGCTCTCTGTCTCGCTTTCACGCCTAAACCAATCAACCGATTTTGATTAAATTTGGCAGAGAGATAGTTTGGAGTCCCGGGAAAGGACATTGGATAGTTTTTATCCCGGTTTTTGAAACAGGGATGCGCGCGATAAAGTTTTTCTGTGACAGACAAAATTCCACGCGGGCGAAGCCGCGGGCGGAAAGCTAATAATTTAATAAATCCTTGTAACATAAATATTACCCGCTACATTCGTTCTTTTTTTCCAGATCTAATGACAATTTGTGAATTCAACATCTTACGATCCTTCGTTAGCAAAAATCAAACCTAAATAACTAATAAATCAATCACATTCGTAGGTGAGTTATGAATTAGATTATAAAATAAATTATGTAAATGTTGTTTTTTTTTTAAATTAGTATGCAATGAAAAGAGGAAAATTTTGAATTTACCATTTTTCAATCATGAATATACCTACTTAAAATTATGTAACTTTGTCTTTTTAATTTAATATCCCAACTTTTGGAATGACCTTTTTGATCTTAAAAAAAAATGAATTATTTTATTATTATTTTGTAAGCAAGTTATTTAAAAAAAATTGTTGATGTAGTAATACCTATTTTATTATTGATGATTGATGAATTGATGAAGTCCTAAAACGTAACTTGTACTAATCTATCTATATCCTATCTATATCTATCTAATCTAGGGCCAATCATTAATTTTTAAACTGTGCGTTATGTACGATTAAAATGACTGATTCCCAAAAAATAATGATTTTATGTGTTGATGCACGTCATTAGATACTTCATTACTTCTCAAATAACTGACTGAACTGTCTGTGTTATCTTTAAGCACTGGCTTACAGCGGTTTGTGTGTGTAGTGAAAAATCGGCCTACGGTACGGTAGGTACCGTACTGTACGTGTGACGGTTGGTTGTGCCCGATTACTGTACAGTACAGTGCAAGCCCGATCGTCTCGCTTACGGTTCGTCCTGGACTTCTAGTGTACGATTGGCTAAATTACGCTTTCATTTGTTTGTGAAGACTTGAAGAAATTTATTTAATTGCTCTTAAAAATATTAAACACTTTTAACAAATGCAATATGGTTTGTACAGAGAATAATTTTGATGGTGCTGGCTAAGGGGAGGTTGGAGGCCATTAAAGGTTGTGAAGCCCCGCTTCTTTGTCAATACGATAACAAAACCTTTAATTTTAAATATTTTGGAAGTTAACTGTAAATATCAATTAATTTGCACGCAAGTCACTCAGTGTCGCAAACTATTCACATTGTCCTACCCGTAGTATCGCCGTATCGTATCAAAAGCATCGAAGTATCGATAGAACTTTATGTGCATGATTATTCCTGATACTTAAGTAAAATAATTTTACTATAAATAATACTAAACCATCGATATCATACTTATTTAGCCATCTCTAAAATGGTCAATACCTTTTTTTGCTTTAACTATCGATAAATCGATCAATCAACTGAAAATAGTATTGTATCGTCCGAATTAGTTTGGAATCTTAAAAAATATATAAAGCCAAATCATCTTTACAGGTTGTACCATGAAGAGCCACAGTAAAGACACACGGTGAAGCGGCGCCTAGTGCCAGAAGACAATGGCAGGCAAGTCTCTTTCACGCGGCCCAATGAGACGCGTAGACTTTTCCTTCCACAGTGATAGGTAGGATATTAAACTGAAGGAATATCGTAATAGCACATTAGACATCTAGCATACAAGTAGCAGCGTTCACGTCCTGTACACTAATCATAAAAATATAGCAAACAAACCTGTCATTTGGTAATAAGTTAGTCTCCTTGACCCATTTATAATCAGCTAAACAACACATTTTATTTGCTAAATTAACTTAGAATATATTTTAACACTTAATTGTATGCTGTCCATTTAGCTAAAGTTCTCGTTCACTCTTTCACCATCTGCACAAGTAGTTACCTACCTAGTTATATCATCATCAGTCACAAATTAATTTGTAAAACCCTTTTTAAGTTCAATATAATTTCTTACCATCATCGGTTTTTGAGCTGGTTTCAATAACTGTTTTTTTGTTACAGAATCTAAAAAAAGATATGAAATCATTCCAGAAGTCAAATATGACCCTAATATAATTGTGGTTTCGGACAGCGAGGATGGAGATGATAACAAACAGACATTAGCGGGACTGAGTGTACGGCCCCTTTCCACCTCGCCGACATTAACCATAATATCTAAAACGGCTGGATATCTACAAAACCAAGACATTCCTGAAATAGTGACTCCGCCTGGAGACGAAGATTTGTTGCAGCAGTTGTTCCCAGGGGTAGCGGAACCGACGAGGCATTGGAAGTGGCTCTCGGAATCGCCGCGGTCGCCGTCAAACTCGCCTACTCGATCGTTAGCAAAGTCGCCTGTACAATCGCGGTTGAAATCCGTTTCCAAGCCCTCTTCAAAAAAGGCATCAACGATGTCGACTTCTGATCAGGAAGACTCGTCTTCAAAAGAAAGCTCGCGTTCTACGAGTAACTCTAGTTCGCGTTCTAACTCCCCAACACAGCAGTCGCCCCCACCTTCACATCGATCGCGAGCGGAGCTCAAGCCATCGAATATGTCAGCTCATAAGCAGGAGCGCTACTTGCCTCCTAAAGCAATTTCACGTTCCAGTTCGTCCTCAAGTTCTTCAAGTTCCGTAAGGTCCTCAAGTTCCTCAACACAAACGCAGTCGCCGCCGCGATCGCGGCGAGCCCGAGAAGTGGTATCGTCAACAAATATGTCATCCCCTAATCAGCGGGGCAACTTACCTTCAAAGGCGAAGTCGCTTTCACAGACTAACTCATCTCTACGCTCCCCAACACCAACGCAATCGCCGTCGGTGTCGCCAAATGCGCGGACCAACTCTATGTCACCGTCGCCAAAGTCTTCGACACAGATGCCTTCAACCAAGTATACAAAATCTTCGTTTTCGAACTCGAAACCGCAATCAAAAACGCATACAACGCTTTGTTATAAATTTACGTTGCCGACGAAAACCTCAAATAACAATAATAAGACCCACTCCAAAAGGGATATACGTTCCCCGCAGTTACCAGCATCTCAACAGTCCCCTTCTCGCTCATATGCGCATTCTACTTCTACGGAAGTACTGTCCCGGCAGTCACCAGCATCTCCACAGTCCTCTACTCGCTTACGTGCGCATTCTAGGTCCTCAAATAAAAAGACCCACTCTAGAAGGGAAACTGTTACGTCAGAAGTACTGTTTCCGCAGTCGCCAGTATCTCCACAGTCCCCTACTCGCTTATGTGCGCATTCTAGGTCCTCAAATAAAAAGACCCACTCAAAAAGGGAAACTGTTACGTCAGAAGTACTGTCTCCGCAGTCGCCAGCATCTCAACAGTCCCCTTCTCGCTCATATGCGCATTCTACTTCTACGGAAGTACTGTCCCGGCAGTCACCAGCATCTCCACAGTCCNCGTTGTATGGAAGTTTCCACACCCTGAAGTAACTGTCAAACACAGCTGTTTGTTTGTTGGTCTTGGTGGTTTTTTGGTGTGCTTGTTGTAAAGTTGTAAACACAAAATAAAACTTAAGTGAGTGTTTTTCCGCGTTTTTGATTCAGAATAAATAAAAACATAGCAATACAAGCCACCATTGTTAGCAACAATACAAACCAGCATAATAAGTTCATATATGTTACAGTACGTACCTATCTAATGTAACATCTCTTTTATATTTTCAGATGATGAGATGAAACCTTTGATAACATGAGTACAGGAAATGTTACAGATGACTTTGTCGGTTGTTTAACCCAACAGTTAAGTGAGTTTGAACTTTTGAAGTCAATGTATCCAAATAACAATGATATAGTTTTAACCGACAATAAGAGTTTAGATGCAATTCAAAACTTTTTGGATAATCCTACTGAGTATACACCTAGTCATCTAGACTTTACTATAAATTTGTTTATAAAGGAATTGAAATTAGAAATGTGCATTAATTTGCCAAGTTTATATCCTGAGGAAGAGCCAGATATATTCATCAGGTGCAATCAGTTAAATCGGCACCAGGAAACAAAACTCAACTATGAATTATCAAATTTTATCAAGACAAATCATTTAGGAGAAGTCTGTTTATATGATGCAATATCTTGGTTACAAGAAAATATTGAAAATTTTTATGCTCCAAGTGGTGTTTCTGAACAAAACACTGTTAATGAAGAAACTGCAGATGATAATATAAAAGACAGGAACTATGTGAGGCTGTGGATTTACTCACACCATATTTATAACAAGAAGAAACGAGAAGAAGTTGTTAAAAAAGCTAGAGAATTAAAATTAACCGGATTTTGCTTGTCAGGCAAACCAGGTATTGTTTGTATTGAAGGTCATAATTGTGATTGTTATGAATGGTGGAAAGACATAAAATCAATGAATTGGAAGAATATTGTTATAAGAAAATCTGAAGATTTTTCAGCTCCACAAAATAAATTTGTAAATTTTGAAGAAATACAATTAAGTATGACAGACTTTTCCAAATACATGGACAAACTTGGATTCAGTCAAACATTTAATGAATTATTTGGATTAATAAATGATAAGTAACAATTTTATTTATGTAGGTAGGTACTTCTTCTTTTTTATTTTACCCAACACATTCACATGTGTGTTTCGTCTTGTATATTCCCAGTTACCGCTAGAAGCAGTCCCCATGAAGATTACAGGGGTGTATGATTACCTCAGATTAAGGATCACTAATGATTACAAATAATGAAGTTACAACTCTCCATCCTTAGCACAAGACTAGATAAAACTTTACCAACGGGAAATCCTACTAATATTTTAAATGCGAAAGTTTGTGTGGATGTCTGGATGTTTGTTACTCTTTCACGCAAAAAGTACTGAACGGATTTTGATGAAACTATACCTTAGTCCTTTAGAAATTTCCCTAAATGTAAACAAATATGGCCAACTGACATTGACGAATTTTTAGTCTATGTCAGTTGATCTACTAGTGATGCGACAAAATCTCTTGTTAATCGCAATTCTGTAAATGTCATTTACGGACTGCAACATACGATTATTATATTTTCAAAGATCGTTTGTATAATTATTAAGATCAAAGCCTCTTGTGATTGATGTTGAGATCAGTAATGTGATCGTCAAAATAGAAAATAGGATCTTCTTAATCAAAGAAAATTTAATTTTCCCTTTTTTATTTGTTTAGGAAATATAATTTAAATTATACTGTGGGTCTAGACAAAGTGCACAATAAAATCGTAAACCAGTCGAAAAGTGGTCGAAAGGCCTTTTTTATGTGACACTGGTCTGTATAATAAAGCTGAATTCAAAGACTTCTTCGCAAAGTGTGTTGTTGCATTAAATGGAGAAAAAATACATTGTTGAATATAACCTTGTTTATATTTTATTTTAAATTAATATTATCAAAGTAATTGGTAATTGAAATAATTGAATACTTGAAATAAAATCGATTAAATTTACAGATTATTATCTATGAATATTGTCTATGACTTACAGATTTTCCAGAGATAGGTCCTAAATTTAAACGTCAAATGTCGATTTGACATTTTAACATGAAGCACAAATTTTCACCATCCAAATATTTTGTTAAAATATTTTGTTTTCAATGTTAGATTTCATATTTGTTTCATCATGAGAATAAAGTTGGTTTCATGAGCTTGTGAAATAATGTGTATGATATTAAGAAAACGTGAGTATTATAGTGTAATTGTGTGCACAAGTGTTTGTTTACATCGATGGAAATTTCTAAAGAATTTAGGATTACAGTATTATTGTTTATAACCCAGAATAACATAAGTAGACTATAATTTATGACGATCTGTGACAAACCAAATTTCACGTGAGTGAAGCCGCGGGCAAAAGCTAGTAGGAAATAAAACAGTAACCCCCTTACTAATAAAAAGAAGTTACACAGTTGTTGAACACTGTTTTAAATTAATGATGTTTCCATACTATCGATTATATGATGTACTAATCGGTAGTAAATTGATGAGTCACAACACTACTTGGTGCAATCATGAAGCTTTATATCTTTAGCTTCATGGGCACAATGGTGTTGTCCCAATGCCCAATCCTGTATTTTTTATCTGTGACTCCTACTGTCATTTGTCATAATTGTCATTTCTGTCAGTCATTTTGTCATTCGTCGCCTGATTTTTTGCTGCTTCCAACAATTTCTGAAAATCACTGAAAACAGAGGAAAAAAGCGTAAAATCCTAATACTTTAATGATTGGCAATAATTAAATTGCAAATTATAAGAATCCAGTGTCTCGTGAATACGCCGTAAAGTATCATCATATTTACACGATGGCATCCCCTCTGGAACAATTTGTAAATAATGTGAGAACGATGTCGGCTTCAGGTTCGTATTCAGATAATAATTATTATCTTTCCCTTCACCACTTTTTTCCATGCTAATATTCTAGTAATCTATTCATATAGGGGTTAGATGTCTGTCAATTTCTGTGTTTTACAGGGAGCTTCCGGGAATTGTGTGAAGTCATAGGGAACTCTGATGAAGTTCTACAGCGTAATAGTGCTCATCTCAATACTGTTTTGGAGACCCTTGACATTCAACAACATTCACTGGGAGTATTGGCAGTATTGGTCGCAAAATTCTCTCTACCACAGGTCAGAATAATATTTATGTACATATAATTATTTTGTTACTTTTATCCTATTTTTACTAATAAATATCTTTTCATGTGCAGGGTTCCAGTGACATTGACAGATCTACTATGTTTCAACAAATACATGATTTTATAAATAATTGTAATGGTGAACAAGTTCGCTTTTCTCCAGACTTGTGTAAGTATCACAGTATTGTTTATATTGACTCTGTTTTCAATTACAAATTAGCATAATCTTGGTAAAAAAAGTACTTTTAACTTTTAATTCTTAAAATTTCAGATGCTGATCTTTGCCACCTCCTCACTGATCATCTAGTAGAGTTGAAACAACCTATCCGAGGAATTGAAATACTAAAAAAGGCCATCAGGAAAATACAGTTGTTTGATTCTCAGCTGACTTCGATCCATGCTGATTTGTGTCAGCTCTGCTTGCTCTCTAAATGTATGAAACCAGCACTTGAGTTTTTAGATACTGATGTTACTGGGATAAGTTCTGAGGTAAAATAAAATTCCTTGATCATAATATACACTTGGTTTCAAAGAAGTTTTAAAAAATATATAAATTTTTTCTTCTTTTATTACAGCTTGGGGGTAATAACGATTCAAAACATTTTCTACTATATTACTATTATGGAGGGATGATCTACACAGCTATGAAAAACTATGATAGGGCTTTGTATTTCTTTGAAGTGGTGGTAACAGTCCCTGCTATGGTTGTCTCCCACATAATGTTGGAAGCTTACAAAAAATACATATTGGTCTCATTTATTTCACATGGAAAGGTATAGTCATAACTTGAAAATTCGAAACTTATAGTAACCTCATTATTTATGATCTTAAATGGATAAAAAAAACATATCTTATTCCAGATTTTTCCTATGCCTAAATATGTACCACAAGTTGTATGCCGTTTTCTAAAACCATTGTCAGTGGCATACCATGAGTTGGCTACATCTCATCATGCAGTGATAAAACATCGAGAAACATTTGTTAGAGACAAAAATATGGGATTAGTAAACCAAGTAAGTAATACTAACCAGTAACCACATGTCATACAGGCAGTCTGTAGTTTCTCTGTGCAAATTTAACTAAAAAATTATACTTACTTTATTTTTATTTCAGGTTCTAAGTTCAATGTATAAGAAAAATATTCAGAGACTTACAAAGACGTTTTTAACTCTGTCTTTGAGTGATGTAGCTGCAAGAGTACAACTGTCAGGTCCTGCACAAGCTGAGACATACATACTCAACATGGTTGGTATCCCTATGAAGTTACAGAAACCATAAAAAACTTTTTACTATTACATAAGTATATTTTTTAAATGATTTAATATTTTTTAGATTGAAGAAGGTGAAATTTACGCAATGATCAATCAAAAAGATGGCATGGTTGTATTTCTTGATAGCCCTGAAAAATATGCTTCTCCTGAAACCTTATGTGTTTTGGAGCAACAAATGGCAGCATGTACGAAACTGCACCAGTATATCCAGGAAATGGATGAACAAATACAAGTTAATCCTCAGGTACATTCACTTATAAAATTATAATAATATCTTATTCTGTTTGTCTTGTGTAGGAAAATATTTAAAGGAATATTTTTTCTTTCAGTATGTAAAGAAATCTGTGGGCAGCCACGATGAAGATATGCCAGCTACTAGTCAAAACTCAAAAACCACTTATACTATGTAAATAAGCAATTTTGTTAGCAACCACAGTACTTCATGATAGTGAAAAAACATGGTCCAAAACAGTTGGCAGTTCATTATACTTTGTAACTTTACATCAAAATCGCACCTTTATGAACTAGGTACAATGATTATGTTAATGTGCTATAAATTAATATCCCTAGTTGTTGTTGCATATCTGAGTGCATTATGTAAATTGCCTGGCTCAATGAACTCATTAATTTTTGTCTGTACAAAATTACATGACTTTCGAATGTTTCGCGCACAACATACATACGTACATCGTCGTAAGGCGATCATTTGGCCTATCAGTCTGTTTGTTTCTATTGTGAAGCTCTGGCAGATAGGAATTCTGAATTTATGTAATCTTTTCAATAATTCTGATAAATAAATAACAAAAGTAAACAAAAAAACATCTTTTATTGAACATATCATAAGTATCTATTCAACCAATTCACCATTTTAGCATAGTAGGTAAATAACAAGCATACATAAAGTTGTAGTTGATAATTAGATAGCTTCATGAACAGCTTCTGTGAAAGCAGTCATACTCTCAATCGGCGTAGCTGGTGTAATGCCATGTCCTAAGTTGGCTATGTATCTGAACTTCCCGAATTTTTGGACCATTGATATGGTTAGATTCCTTACTTCTTCCTGTAATTAAAAAATAAGGATCAAATTGAAATTGATTCTAAGGTTAAGATTGGATGGGTTGATAAAATTTACAAAGATCCCTCTCTTTTTCATGTGTATATTGCAGTTTACTTTCAATAGTATGAATTGATAAGTCAATCCATTGCATACATAAATATATGACAGGATTTTAAAATTATAGTTGTGTGTGGGTTCTGATTGGAGGGGGCAATATCCCTAGATTAAATCCTTTACACACTTTACCTTGGGCTTGTATAAGTCTTGTGGATCAAGGTTTCCTTGTAAAGTGATATTTTCTCCAACAATCTTTCTGGCCTCTACTGGGTCTACTGTCCAGTCTAACCCAATAGTCTCATAGCCCAGTTGAGCTTGGACATCCAAAGAGTGACCACCTCCTTTAGCAAAAACTGTCTAAAAAATTTACATTTATTAATTTATTAGCAAGACATGCTTTAAGTTTGTTATGCATTTAAACAATTTAAATTAATTATTGTTTTAATCATGTTTTAAAAAACATATTATTTACCATTGGCACTTGCTGCAGATTTCTTTCATCAAGTTTTGTTCTTACTCCATCTCTTATTTGCTTCAAATAAGGTGATGATAGTTCTGCAAATTGTTCTTTTGTAAGATGATCGGCACTAGATTCAAACACTTGAAGTAATTGTGCTCCACTGTCAACCTGGAAATATGATTTATACTAAACTAGCTGACCCGGCGAACTTCGTACCGCCTTAGCGTAGAGATTTTCTTTATATTTTTTTCCGTAAAAACCTTGTACAGAGTATTAGAAAACTACAAAAAAAAAGCCAGCCAAATCGGTCAAGCCGTTTTCATGTTATGTTGTGACAACGGAAAACGGGTTTCATTTCATAGATAAGGTTTTATTAAATAAAATTGAGTTTTTTAAGATGATTTCGGTATTCAAGTAAAGCAATAAAAATCTATAAAAAACCTTACCTGCATTACCAAGTAATCCACAATAACTCTCGTCAATAGACTGAGTAGTTTGTGAACATCTTTTGGGTACTTTTCAATCCACTCTTTAGTTTTTGACATTGTTTTGCTGCCACCTCCTTCAATCATGTACCCCATCAAAGTAAACTAAAAAGAAAACCTGTTAAATGCAGTGTTATGCTAGGATACAATATCTACTAAGGTATTGATGTAGCTAATATTTTATAACACTTGTTTAATCGTTTGTTTCATCCAAATGACGTTCAGTGCTGGACAAAATGTAATATTATAACTTACAGGTGCCCCAGTAAATCCAATCAATGGAACTTTCCCTTCAATTTTGTGTCTGGTCAAAGTTATAGCATCACCCACATAACTTAATCTTGATATGGCTCCATCTTCTTTCAAATTCTCTATTTCAGTAGGTGAGTTGAGTGGATGAGGAAAGACTGGACCCTGAAATCAATGGTAATTGAAAATGAACTTTGTTGCATTGATATTAGATAGTTAGGTGTTTAATTTAAGTTATTTACCTGACCAGGATGCATTTCCACTATCATACCTAGAGCTTGAGGGATCACAAGTATGTCACTGAAAATTATTGAAGCATCCAGATGCTCAAATCGTCTGAGTGGCTGTAGCGTCACTTCACACGCGAGCTCTGGTGTCCGACAGACGGTAAAGAAGTCATGTTTTGCTCGTACTTCTTGAAATTCTGGCAGATATCTACCGGCTTGCCGCATCACCCATACTGGAACCTTATCAACCTCCATGCCCCGTGCCGCTCTCAATAGCCGGTCATTTTTTAGTTCAGGAAAGTTCTGCAATGATTGCGTAAATACGATTAGTTTCTGATTAATCAATACACAATGAATATGCAATTATTGTAATTGTTTACATCCGACACTAATACTTACTTTGTTGGTATAGCTCATGTTGTATGTTTCATATACGGCTATTATTAATAATGTAGATATTTGAATACTCAAAGAAGTTATATTGAATAGATATCAATATGCCAGTAATTTATTAAATTAAATAACCCAAAGTTTCTGCCGCACAGAGAAAACTGCCGAGCCTGGAGGGAGGAGGAGCATTGATTGACATTGACATTTAACATCTGTCATCTGTCATTTCTCATAGTGAAGTCCATTTTAAGCCTGTAATCTGTAATCGATAAAAATATTTCTTATTTAATCGATTGTATAATAAAAAAATGTTTTTATTTCGTTTTCTTTAATTTAAACACATTCGTTTTAAATGGATTACATTTCTGAAGTTTAGATACATTAACCGTAGTCCGTGTTCGTATCAGATCGCACTTTTGGGATGCGGAAGAGAGGGCGCTTTAAATGATGTGGTTACCTCTCTAATAGCATTTCTTTTCACGCACCTTGTGTTGGGTAGAATAATAGATATTTTTTCTATTATTTGAAATTAATTATAGTTGATTTTGTTTTTTTTTATTTAGATTTGTTCTGATAAGTATATTAATATTTATCATCTAATTCCCCCAATTATTATATTTATTAGAAACATAGTGCGTGTATCGGAACGAACGGAATTTTGAATTTTCCTTATATTTTTTAAATTCAGAATGCTATGTTGTGAAAATAAGTTTCTTCTTAAAGATGACCCACGCTGAACTGTCCCGCCAAACTCAATGACAGGGGGGCGCTACCATCGTTCAACTTTATGGTTTCCAACATGGCAAAAATCGGAACCAGCGATTCGGTATTGATGTATACACCACCGAAACATTAAAATAAATTGATCTATCTTTTTCATTACCTACCTACCTACCTAAACTAATATTTTATCAACAGATTCCTAAATTCACAGGGTGATTGGATTATACATACTAATTTTATGTCCCATCTGGGAATCGAACCAGAGTAGATTTAATGTAAAATTTAAGAACAAATTAAATGAAAGCATAACTTATTTATGTTCTATAATTTTTACGTCTTTATTTTTGTACGCATATTAATAGTTACGAATTAATCGCTTCAGAATTTTTTTGACCTTTCATGAGTTAGTTTATTTGAAAAGACTATCAAGCCATAATAACAAAACAAAAAACCTCTTTCACGTGAAATTATGTCGCGGAGTTTGCGATGTGAGGATCCGTCTACCTGCCTCGCACTTCTATCAAAACCTAAAAAAACACAAATGAGAGGGGTTCACGCATTTTTTGTAAGAATGCAAGCGACACACGGCGACCTTTTACAATACAGTTTTTTCTAATAAAACCCTTGTATCCCACTTTCCTTATAAAGTTTATTCGCTTTAGGCTACAAGGAATGTAACTCGAATTTGCATTTTAGTGAAACCATACCACTGTAGCAGAAATTTCTTTTACTAACATTTCTAAGGTTCACTTCACAGACTCAAACATTGGCGAAAATTAAAAGCTCAAATAAAAACCTTAGGTACTGAAGAACCTAATTTGTACTGCAAATTAAAGTTTTAAAAACGAAAGAAACTTACTGCATATACATATAATATAAACTTAAAAAGTGTTCAAACTTTAAAATTCTCTATTTTTTTACAGTTTTTGAATTCGTAAGAAAAATGAAAGTTGGAATACGAATTATAAAAGGGTCATTCCATAAAAATATGTATATTTTCGACGTCATTTTGTCCTAAACTTTTTTAAGATGCTTTTGAATACTTTATTACTGTAAATTATAGTTTATTTATTAATTATGTTATGTCTAAAAGGGCCAGTCACTTTATCCTTTATTTTAGGAGAAATTCGAATTTTTCAATTTTTTCATACTACATTACTCCTTTATGACTTCTAATAAAGTATAAAACTTGTAACCTTAACATTTATAGATAAGTTAATATACTTAATGTAGTTGTTTTGTTATTATCTCTATATAAAAAATGTCATTCCCTAACTAGTAATTTAGTCCCTATCGTCGTTTAAAGCTAGGGCCTGACGGTCTAGGGACTGACGATTTGGAGTAAAAATTAACACAAATTGGCACATTGGGATGTGTAAATAAAACTTGATTTTGGAAAATACAACTTGTGGTTTTAATGGCTTTCGATTTGCGATACAGGCATAGACAATACAATCATAGACAATGACAGTTCAGAAATGCAAATAGTGATGTCTTTACTTTACATCTCCCTTTCTTTGTAAATAAACAGAAAACATCATGTTGTACCTACTTTACTTACTGCTTACATGTTGACTATGACTCAGGATTAGGCACAATTTAATACAGCACAACATATTTATGATTATACTAAGATCTAGTTAGTTATTTAAAGATTATTAAATGCCTAGTACATGTATACACATAATACAGGTAATCACTGTAATACTTATGAACATAATATCATAGCAAGATTGTATTTAATGCTTGACATGTTAACAAAATCCAACTACAGTATCAAGTACTTAAAATAGGCTCTAATTTATCATAAAGACAATAGTATTAATTTAGTATCTTAGGATTAGCTGAAAAAGNTTTCAGACCAGTCTTTTTTTTCTCCGCTACATAACACTGATATGAATACTTCGTCTTCTGAATTTGAGCTTTCTTCTGTTGCTGCTGTATTCACTCTGTTTTTATTCTTTTTATCATCATATTTCTTTTTTGATTTGCACATATTTGCGAAGTGACCATTTTTCTTGCACTTATTACATGGTTTGTTAAAAGCTGGACATTCTCTGCGTTTATGGTTTGTACCACATCTTTTACAGTCAAAATTCTTGTTTTGTTCTCTTTTGTAGTGTGTCGTATTTTTCACCACGGATACTTTATCTATTTTGTTTTTATTTTCGAACTCGTCCAATTGTTTTGAAGCTTGTTCACTGGTTTTGCAGATAGTTATCGCCTTTGTCAAGTCTAATTTGTCTTCTGTCAACAATTTCTCTCTTACTTGATTAGATCTGATTCCAAATACTATCTTGTCTTTCAACATTTCGTCGAGCAAATTGTCGAATTCACATTTTCTTGCTTGGGTCTTTATTCTGGTCAAGAACTCATTGAAATGTTCATCTTCGTTTTGTTCGATCTTGAAAAATATGTATCTCTCGAAAGATATGTTGGTTTTTGGCGCAAAATACTCAACAAACTTATTTATGATGGTTTGCAGGTTATTTTTGTCTGCGTCGCTGAGATTGAAACTGTTGTAAATTTCGATCGCGTCTGGACCTATTACAGCCATAAATGTTGCAGCTTGGACCTTGGCTGGCTTTTTCTCCAATTGAATAGCTGTGGAATACCATTCAAATTGCTGTAACCAGTTTTTCCAACATGTTGGTTTGTCCGAGTCAATTTGCAGGTTAGGTGGTGGCTTTATTCCAGATACTGCGTCGTTCGTGGCCATTTTCCAACTTTATCACTATAAGTTGTTTAACTTTCATACTTTAGTTTTACTTCTGACACCATGGCACATTGGGATGTGTAAATAAAACTTGATTTTGGAAAATACAACTTGTGGTTTTAATGGCTTTCGATTTGCGATACAGGCATAGACAATACAATCATAGACAATGACAGTTCAGAAATGCAAATAGTGATGTCTTTACTTTACACAAATGCAGATTAACTTTATATTATAAGATGCTTAATATGATGTGCCGAAAATAGCCGATAAACCACACGTAAATACTATTAAATTATATACAATTTCCTATTGCAATCAATAAAGCTACTCAACTAGGGACTGACGAAGTGACTAGATCAGCACATGTTTCGGCAACAACTGGCACGTTTGCACTAATTCAAAAAACGGCTGCCACAAAGCCAGTATGGTCTGAGGATAACTTCTTATCGTACTTTAAACTCAACTAAATGTAATTCACTCTAAATACAATTAAAGCGCAAAATTATAAAATCAGTGCGTGGCGAGGGAATGACGCTAAAAGCTGTGGACTCTTTTTCAACTAAAGAAAATCAAATTATTGTTTATTGATACCGCAAAATATTAATAGAATTTGATGTAATATACGTTTAAATAGATAATTCGTCAATTAAAACAAAGGATAAAGTTGATGTTTTTATAAATATGGGTTCCAAAACATAAACTTTTGGAGTACGGACATGCCTAGGGAATGACGTTTTGGGTCATTTAAAAGGAATTTAAGATGTTTTAAAACTAGTTTTAAAAAATATAAATGGGTGATGAATAAAGCACATTGCGAGCTATTATTTAACAATTTTGGAATAAAATATTAACAAATATTCCATGTGAAATGTGTCGCGGACTAAGAGTTGACATATTTTTGTGGAATGACCCAAAAAGAGCTGCAACATTATTCCACTCAGGTTGTGTGCAGTTTCGATAAAAGACGGGTCAGCCACAATGCCGTCCTGACTTGTGCATTCTTTGTGCAACTCGTGGGAGCGACAATTTTGTGCATAATATTTCTTTTCGCTTATTCAGTACCTAAGAGTTTTCTATCAATGTAACAATACAAGTTTATGTGGGTGGAGGAGGAAATTGAAACAATAATTTCCAGCAAATACTTACCAAAGTCACTGCAGCGTACTAAAGTCATTCATAAAACAAATGGATTTAATGCATTAAATTCACTCTTATAATTAAATTTTGTATCATAATTATCTAGTACGAAGGGGAGATTAGCCAAACCTCTTTACAAAAGGATTTATTGTTGTGAATAAAGCAATAAATCTCACCGATTCCTAATTATTAAGCTTCCGAGACAACATTAGCAAATTTTGATAATGGGTGGGAATCTTCCTCTCTAGAAGAAAAGAAATATCAATAAAAAACAAAAGATTACACGCAATAATTTGGCCGGTCCCGTTATTCGAAAAAAGTTAATGGCTTGCGTATCTGCGATTTCTTTTTTATTGAGATCCTTTTTTTTCCGCAATTCGTTATCAAAGTTCGGTGGGCCCAGTAGGGGTGATTTAGTTAAAAATATTAGATATTTCCATTTCTTTCTTGTCATGATTTAATTAAAAACTTCTACTGATTTTAGGCAATACTTTACTTATCCCTAACTTTGACGGAATTATAGATGGAAAGGTAGTACGAACTATTACAAAATTTTCCGTCTTGCCTTTTTAATTAGTATTAGCTAGATTTTGCCCGAGACCTTTCCGCATAGAGAAACATGTCACGTTGTCCGATTACTTATTTCCAGATACTTTTTCAAAAATTTTCTCTTTTAGGACCTTCCTCGGACCAAATTTTAATATTTATTAAGAATCTCTCGCTCTCGAGTATTTGTACCTACTTAGTAATTAATTTAGTATTATCTAGATTTACCTACTGTAGTAGGTAGGCTATAAGGCGACATTACTCTTTGGGGGCCTTAGGAGGTAGGTTGGTCACAAAATGAGCAATGACCCATGTCGTGATTCTGTTCGTGTGATAAAACATATCCATAACTCTATTTTATGAGTAAGCGTTAACGTCATGCAATTTAAACAGTCAGCTTAATTTGCGCCAATCTATTCATCAGTAAATTAAAATGCTTTTCGACAGTCTAATTCCACTAGGTCTCATTCGCTGAACACTAAACTTCTTTCAATTTGCATAAAGTTACAATTTTTAAGTAGCACATAAACTTTGTTATTGCTGGGATACTAAATTACAGCTGAAGAGTTCTGAAGTTACGAGTAAGAAAATGTGAAAGTAAATAAATGTTAATTATTCTTATGTGAAGTCCCTTTATCAAAAACATACCTTTTTTTGTCATTTTGGATCTTCCTCTAGGCAAAAAAGTAGGTTTAGTAGAAAAATTTACTATCCAAGATTATTGTGGTTTTGCCACGCAATACTCCGCGGCACAGCATTATGCCTCCGTGCCAGTTCTTGTGGCTTTGCATGGAATATTTCCAACGTTTACCAGCCAAGGAAGGTGCATTGGCAGCGGCAATAGTGAACAATTGCCACTAATGCAGGCTCAATTTATTTACGAGCGCTAGGGGCGTGCAGACGAGGACTTGGGTCTATGATGGAGTAGCGTCGACGTATTTTTTTTATAGGTACGCGCTGTAGTGCGCTGTAGAGGTTGTAACCTTAGATAGTTTTTTCAGTGGATTTTGCTGAGATGCTACGACAATTAGACTACGGAGGCGTTTTTTAATGTTTTTCAGCTACGTATCAGTGGCGGATTTATGTTTTGTACCTACGTTTAATCTGCGCTGCGGAGCAAACTAT